GTTCCTTGCGCCCTCCTTCCTCCGGTAGTGCCGCTCCCACCTCAGGCCTTCCCGAAGGACAGGTTACCGTGGCTTGGCGTGAGTCCGAACACTATTTTGACAGATCCCGGTTCCACAGCTTCTCACGATCTCACCTGCTTTACTTCTCCAGTCATTTCCTTTCCCGGCATTGTCGGCATCCAAGTTCCCTATTATCCGGGTTCTTGTCTTCCGGGAGGCAGGCTGCAGGATGTTTGCGGTCTGTACTACACAGGTGGCATGTGTCAGGGCGCCACTTCAGAGAAAGAAACGCTAGTTTCCAGCTTCTTGTCAAAAGGAGGGAGAGGAGTAGGGAACCTTAGGCTCCTGAGAGAGACCACGTGGTCTGCTTTAGTGGCGGGGGGGGGGGGGGCGGCAGGCGTTTCTGTTAGAGGTGCAGCCCTTCCCTCCAGTTTGAAGGATAACGTAGGCCTGCAAAAAGTAGATAAGTCCCCCTGAGGCTTGAATAACTTGCTAATATTCAAACTTTGAAAATACCAAAGGACATACACTTAAAATACTGAAGGAAGTGTGTGGAGGTTTTAATGCTTGTCGGCCATATCAGTGGCACCCAGAATGACTTACATATGTGAATATGCGATGTAAAAGAAAGTGCTCTGTTAGGGGAAAGGATGATCTGCCTTTTCATTATAACAGAAAATCATTTTCACTTCCCACTGTCACCATAACAGCTGCATATAATTTATAGGGTTTTTTCTTTTTTCACTTATTTCAGTATGGTCTAGTGGAAGCAGCGTAAGATTTAGACCTGAAATGTCACAATTCTACCACTTAACTCGCATTATGACTTTAAGAAAAGTTACTATACATCATTGCACCTCAAAATCTTCGCCTATAAAATAGGTAATAATTTTATCATCGAGATTTTATCTCGATTCAATTAAATATGATAAAAAATGGATATTTATGAGACGTTAAATTTTAGCTATATTCCTATCCCTGCCATTTACTCCTGACAAAATGATGTGGTATTGGTATAATTTTCAAGTAAGGTAATAGGTAGCATACTTGGGACTTGAATTTAAGAACTTTGATCTAAGTCTTAGTAATTTTTTTCCTACTTTGTTAGGCTGCACACTGTGCTCATGTGATAAAAATTCCTGTGAATGTAAATATATGCTTGTTGCAGAAAGTCATAAAGTGGGATTTTCAGATGACTTAACAATCATTATTGTTCATATTGGAATGTATCCAAAGTGTTTCTTGCTGTGGCAAAATGTAACATTTCCTAGGACACCTATGTTCACCTTGCCCTGTGGATTTTTAAAGATGAGATCAATCACTGCTCATTGTTGAATGTTAAAGAAAACTTAAAAACTCTTAATTCACCCAGCACATTACCAGTTCATAAAAAGATACAGGTGGATTTCCTTAAAGTAAAAATCTGCAAGTTATAATATGGATATTATTGTTTCTCTTTAGTGTTAATGTTTGGTATGCTGAGTATAATTGGTGGTGTTTATTATGGACATTCCACTTTTTTAAGTTTGGTATTTCTCAGACGAATGTATTTTTGCTTTTTGACAAAGTTACCGTAAGTCATTTTAAATAGATATTTTAAGAAATACAGAAGTCCAAAATTTGAACCATATCAATGCTTTCACTTAAAAGGAAACTGAATGTCATATAGTTAGGTAACAGCAGAATGTGCAAGTTTATTCTCACTTTAATTTCCTCTTTCATTTTCAAGGAAAAAAAATGCAGAAGCAAGATAGGGAGTTGCAGAAACCAGTTTGGTTTTAAGCATTAGCCAGTGCACTTGCAACCTAATAGGCAAAACCTGTCACTAAAAAGCAATATTGTAGAGAAAACGTTTGATTCAGAATTTTAAGGTGAATAATTTTGTAAGTACAAATTTGATAATGAACTTATGATTACAGAACAGGTAGGGTTGTTAAGTAGTTTGGTTATTGGGCTCACATTTTTGAAACTCAGTAGAAAGTTGTTCTAACTTTTTTTTTTTTTTTTTTTTTTGTCTTTAGATTAGTCTTATGAGCATTTGGGCAAATCCTGTGGATTATTTTATAGGTAAAACAGCCACATGCAGGTAGAACATTGTCATGGCATAAATATATAACCATCTCAGAAAAACTGATTGAGGTATTAGGAAAATATGATGGGTTTACCATACGTTTATTCTTAAAAGTTTAATACAGATGTTTAAAGTTATAGTCAAATACATCTAAAATGAATGCATTTTACTAATTAGCACTTGAGCACTTTGTAGGTGAGGACTGTCACACAGTACTCTAGTAACTAATTCTAATATCTAGGCAAGTATTAAGACTTATTCCATTATGTGTGAATGCTAGAGTTTCTGTTTATTTGTAAGCAGCGACTAATTTTTATCTATAAACTGATTTTCTAGAGATGAAAATAAGTTACAGAAGTCTGGGATGAAACAAAATATTTTTATACGGGTCGTCAGAAAAGTCATGAAGTATTTTTTCTATGCAAAAACATGTCATGACTTTTCCGACAAACTTATTCTTGAACTAGGCTTTATAGTGAGAAAGTCAAAGTTAGACAGTTACACCTCTTAAAAAATGTGAGACAGGAAAGTAACACCGATCCGTACAATAAGGAATGAAGTAGTAGTTTCATAATGCTGTTTCATTGATCTGTGTTTCAATTCCAAGGAGATTCCGAAAACCATGAACAAGATTAAGGCAGAATTTATGTACTACCGAAAAAGGATATAAGGGACTGGAGTTGTTTAGGATGAACTGAAGATAGCTTTCAGGTACATAAAGGTTTTCCTGATAAGACAGAAAATTTGCTAAAGTATGTTGCATGGGAACCAGTAGTTGGTGTAATGGCTATGTCACTGGACTCCCATGTAGTCCACTGTGGTTTGAGTCCCAGACCCAGTGGGTTGAACATACTGGGCGCGTGTGCGTGCATGTCCAAGATCCTGAGAGGAGATTGGAGGACAGGGATTGCGGCGTGGCCATCCTCCCTGGGGGGTGATTTCTCGCTTTCTGTCTCTCTGTCTCTGTGTTTCCCGCCAGGGCATGTGCCCTATAGCAAAAACTTCTCCCCCCAACCCCCCAAAAAAGTATGTTGCATGTAAGTATTTTAGGATCTTATTTAAGGAGTGGTTGTTAAATGAATGACAAGTTATGGATTGGGGAATGCTTTCTTTAGAGATTTCTCTTAAAATGGACCTACTACAAGTAAATCAACAGGTAACTACAAATCATCAAAATCATTACTTCATTTTCTGTATTTTTAACATCATTCACCTACCAGACATTTTCAGTAATTTTTATGTGTGATTATGTTTAATGATAACGTGTAGTCAATACAAACTAGCCGAATACTGCATATCATTTTCGTATAAACCTCATAACTCTAGTAGGTTTAAGGTGAGTTGGAGAGTATCTTTAATATGTATTTAGAGTCATGTAAAATGTCTATGACATTTTTGTTTCAGTACTTTGCCAAAAAATCTGATTAACAGGGTTTTAGACAGGAGACATTGATTTCAGTTTTTAAAGCTTTCCCTCCATTCCTGTCTTTAACTTCGAAATCTTTGAGGCTTTATTTTATTTGGTACCTTATGTTTGCACAACTTAGATTGACACTAACAGAAAATAAACTTTTTTTATACTGACAAGCAAGTTGATATGAAGTGACTATTAATCACCATGAATTCCAACTCATTTAGTATATAATTACTAAAAGTATATGTACTAGGGTGTTTACCACCAAAATGGAATGTATATTACATCATTTACAGGAAATGAAACTAGAAAGCAAAACTTTAACAATGGTAAATTGATTTTTTAAAAAAAGGACAGAAATGGTAACATTAAGGATATTTTCCACATTTTACTTGCTTAAAAATCTAGAAAAGAATTTTTTCTTAATTTAAACCTATTTTGTAAGTTTTAAAAGAACTTCTAAATTATTAGTGAATCCAGGATTAGTGTACCCTGTGTAGCAAAGAAGAGCCGGAGCTAGTCAGCGATTTCACTTATCTATTTAGTGTCATCCAGGCTTTATTTTCTTAAATTATACCAATTTCCCATTACCACATGCTGGGTAGTAAAAGATCTTTTTACAGAATGATTTTGTGACAGTTATTAATCTTGCTTGTACTTCAGTATAATAAGAAAAAAGTAGTTTGTCAGGCCATGACCTGTTATAGTGTATTTAAGTGCCAAATGCCTTTGTAAGTAGCACATATTAATTTATTTAACCATCACTTCAATTAAGGGAACCAGCACTGTTGATAAATAGGACTCCGAGGCTCGAAGAGGTGGTCACACATTGATGGAGCTGGGATTTGAACTAGAAAGTCTAGACCTTTAGTTCATGCTTTTAAATCACTGTTTTATTCTGCCTCATATCTTAATGATTCACTCTACAGAGTAGTTCTATTTAAAAAGAAAAAAAGACTTTCAAAATGGAGTTTATTTTACATTTAGCACCAGAATTTTACATTTTTATTCTACACTGGTCTCTTGTGACTATTCATTCTCAGTATGTTAGAGTATGTAAAACTCTTAACATACTGCCCTGGAAATTAAAACATGTTTAAAGGTCGATAGGTGGATAGCTGAGTGTGCAGAACAGATGCAATTTTGATTCAAAAGTACATTCAAACAAAAGAATCCGAATCATTTACTATTGAGCTTTGGAATTTTAATTGTGTATTTTTGTAGAATCAAACTTTTACTAGAAATAATATGGCC